CTGTTCCCAAGAGCTTATACTTAAATCCATGGTGGGGTTACCCATTGATTGCCACAGCACACCATTGGTATGGATTTTGAAGGAAAATAAAAACCCACCAGCAGTATAGACAGTGCTGTGCACAGGGCGAGTCTCCCCAAAGCTTGCTCTCTAATCCATCTGGTTAGGACTTGACTCTGCCATATGGCACTCTAGCAGATGCTTTAAAAAAACAAAACATGACTATTTTTGAGGGGGAAAAAAAGCTCTAAGCCAACTGATCAAATCATGCTTGTCACAAAAATATTACACAGCTATTAGCTATGGGGATGTCTCTTTCATGGGGTCATGATGAACAGATGTTTTAAAGTCAATTAGAGGGCATTTCTATTTTTAAGCCTTGGAACTGAAGTCTAACAATATGTATGTACAAACAGATACACAACCTTTAACATGCCATGCATTTCTAATTCATTTTTTCATCAACATTTTTTGGATAAAGGATAATTGCAATTTTAAGGCATTGAGCAACAGACAGACTTTATTTATCACATTTACTACCCTGATAACCTGATTATGAATATTTTATAGATATATTCTAAAATAGCCACGATTGGGAGAGCGTGGGAAATTTCTGTTGATAAATAAGAACTGAGGGCAGTCTTTTGAGTATTAGGACATACAAAGTCATTCATACGAAGGACTACCATGACATCCAGTAAAGCCCCCCAACCACAATTCTAGTTGTGTTATGAACTTCACCAAATCACCATTAAAATCCTGGAAAATTATTGGCATTAATCATTAAATTGGTTTACTAAAAGATGAAAAGATTATATGTTAAAAATTATGTTCCTTTATTAAGTTACAATTTCAAACCTTACTTTCTGTAGAATATATAATAAGGGGGAGGTGGGGTGGGGGGCTAAAGCAAAACAGTTTTATTGTTTATAAATAAAAAAATACAGGTAATAGTATAAATTTTGTATAAACCATTCCTGGCAATCCATTAGAATCGACTCCAAAACACCCCATATTACCATACCATATTTATTGAACCCTTGTTTATTTCCCATATGTAAATATAAACCATAATATCTATTGAGATAAAACCTAAAAAGTTTGCCATTTCTCAGCGCACCTTATTTTTCTGCACAGCAGCGTCTTTATTTGAGTCATAAGTTGGAAACATCAAAACAGACTATGCTATTTAAATATTAACACATTTGCCTCTAGTGGCTAGCAGCTAACAGCAAGACACATGGATGTCTTAGAGAAATGTTTGCTGGTTAGCCTGTAGCACCGAAATCTACCTATTTCTTAAAGAAACAACCGATTTAAATTTAAACTTGTCACATTCAGTTTTGTGACATATTTCTAATGCAAATATGGCTCCTTTATATTACAAAGCCATCAAAATGACAAGTTTCAAGAATTCATATTACTGGAAATAGAAAAAGGTTTTTTTAATAAATATTTTCACATCACAGGGGGAAAAAATCAAACAAATTGAGGATAAAGTATTGTCAGGAGACTGGGTTTCACAAAACATCTTATTTCATCTACTAAAGATATAAATATTTTTTTTATGGCCCTAGTTCAATTGGTATTACACAGACACCAGGCTACAAAGCAAATAGCTTAGCTCCGGTGAACCTGGCATTTAACTGCTGCAGATTCGATTAAGTATGCCTTGAAAATCAGGATACCTCCTGCTGATATCACTGGCAGAAGAAGAACGCCACACTTGTAGGCAGTATGCTTATTTAATGTCTGTAAATAATCCCATCAGGTTCTCAAATGATTCCAATGCTCTATAAAAGCTGTCTGCAGAAAAATGATATGATGTTAACATAGTAGACCATAAACATTTACATTTTATGTCTTAATGATTTTGGCAGCTAAAGTGTTAAGGTAATAAATACACAACACATTCCAATGTGCGCATTATTTAAAACACCCCATTGAAAAGCTGTTTGAATGAAAATTTGGAGAATGGCACAATTGCAACAGAGTTCTAGGCCACATCTGTGTATATACAAATCTGTCCTGAGTTTAATCGGGTTTTCAAAGTGAAACTGAAATTACTATCATGATTGCTGGCTGTGTGTTCAGTATAATTATTTTTTTTTTTTTCAGTTCTTTAATTATACTTCCATTTTTGGTAAGGTTACAGAAGATTATACAAGGATAAAATCAAAACAGAAATCACAGTTTTGACAGTTTTAGAACATAAACAATGAGTTGAGATTATTCTCATCCTATGTTGCTAGTTGAAGTCCCAAGCATCCCATATTTTGTGGAAATATATAAATGTTTCATGTGTAATGTCCATCCCCATGGTGTCATTCGCCATTCTAGTGACTGCCAGGACGTGGGTACCTGAGCTCTACCCCGTATGTCTGCTTAAGCCTGTCTGGTGGATAGTGCAATCTTTGCTAATAATTAATTTTGAGCTCTTGTGAGCTTCTCTAAGGGTTAGGATAGCAGCAAAACCCAGGGATCCAATGGTATTGTGGTTTGAAGGATTTGAGATATCAGGTTAGCTATATCTCTTCATAGTGGAGTGATTTGAGGGCAATGCCACCAAACATAATATATGCACCCTTGGAGCCACATTGTTTCCAGCATAGTCCAGATGAAATCCTATTAATTTTAAACAACTTTACTGGTTTTAAGTACTATCTAAAAATCATCATTATGCCTTTTCTTTATGGTTTACACTTATTTTCACAGAATCATTTGCTTCCCAGATATCAGACCAAACTGATGCCTCTAAGGGTGGACCCAAGGTCCACCCTAATCAACATGTAGAGTAGAGTTAATGTGAGGATAATAGAGGAGTAGATGATGAATATTTGACCGGATCTAATTGGTGTTTGCATACAAAGGAGGCAAGGCTGTCTTTATGTTCTGAGGAGTGGTAATTAAGTTTCATAAATGTATATATATAAGGAAGTCTGGTGTGTTAAATGGAGATGTATGTGGTAATTTGTTAAATTGTAGTATTTGATTTTGTTTAAAAAAGTTATAGTATCGGGATAAGTCATTGTCTTCGTATGTGACAAAAGGATGCAGAGTCATCCCTGGAGAGAACAATGTGTTTCTCAGGGGTGGTGTGAATGGTGATGTGTAGTGATGTCCCGAACTGTTCACCGAACGGTTCACCGCGGACTCATCATTGAGTAAACTTTGACCCTGTACCTCACAGTCAGCAGACACATTCCAGCCAATCAGCAGCAGACCCTCCCTCCCAGACCCTCCCACCTCCTGGACAGCTCACTAAGAATACAGCTTCACAATGGATGCTGTCCAGGAGGTGGGAGGGTCTGGGAGGGAGGGTCTGCTGCTGATTGGCTGGAATGTGTCTGCTGACTGTGAGGTACATGGTCAAAGTTTACTCAATGATGAGTCCGTGGCGAACAGTTCGGGACATCACTAGTGATGGGGAGTTGATAATTGGGAATTTCATTTATTTATTTTTTACAATCTTATTTTTGTAGAGTTTTGAGCATTAGCAAGGTCCAACATCAGGATGTTGTTAAATACACGTAGAAGTGAAATATTTGGTAAAGGTATATACCAAGAAAACAAAAATGAGTGAAGTTACAGTATGCAATACAACATACACACGCAGGGATGCTAAATTCGTTAATGTCACATTCAATCCCTGTGTATACTGGTTGAATTGTCCCCACCCAAAAAAAAATCAGTGTGCAACATAATGCTCAGGCATGACAAAGAGGAGACTATAGTGTGATTCAAAGTGTATATTCTAGGAAAAAGAAGGAAGAAGAAAGGGAAAGAGTAAAAGTAGAGGACGCATCCCATCGTATCGCACCTTTAACCCACACCCCCTCCACTCAAAACCATATCAACCACCCAGGAAGGCCATCCATGGGCCCTACACCATTTAATAATTATTTGTCCTGCCCCGAATAGCCGTGACCTATCCCACCACCTGCCTTAGCTCCTCAACTCTATCTAGCCAGTTTTAGTGCATGGGTATAGTTTGCTGCCTCCAGAGGACAGGGATCATGCTGCAGTAAGTAGGTGTTTGGAAACGGTTTCCTTATATCTGGAGATCAACAGTGTGGTATGTCCGAGGTGCATTTTGGCCAGGTAAAAAATGACTCCTTCGTTGGCTATAGATGATACGACTTTGAACAACTGTCTCCAAAAAGGTTCCATGATTGGGCATTCCCAGAGAATATGATCTGACCATTCCACAGCCCCGTCATCATTGGTCAGACTTGTGAGGGAAATGTTATGCAATTTTTGTGGTGTCATACCAATTAGTTAAAAATTTGTAGTTAATCTCTTGGAATCTGGAACTCATGGAGCTTTGGTGTGAGAGCAATAATTGGGAATTTCCTTATCATTATGTCCCATATGTTTATGGCTGTATGTAGTGTAGGTGTGGTGATGGGATTAGTGGTGTGGCCTGTGTGGAAAGGTATAAATAAAGTGAAGGAAAATTTAGGCCAAATATGTTCCAGGTCAACCCATCCCTTGGCTCCTATTGGTGTGTGCAATTTATATGTCTTGGAGAGGTGTGCTGGTAATTTAATTCCCAAATATAGGAGGTCAGCTTCTTTTATCCAGAAGTGATATCGGCTTTGAAGGGCCTACTTGGTTTGATTATTAAAGGAACACTATAGGGTCAAGAACACAAACATATACTCCTTATCCTATAGTGTTACAACCACTTAAGTGGCTTGCCACCCTTAAAAGGTAAGAAAACTTACTTTATTTCCAGCATCGCTCGGGTCCGCCTGGTGCTGGCCCAGCCCTTGATCCAGACTTGATGATCTTATGCAATACAATGCTTTCCCATAGGAAAAGCATTGGATTGTCTGAGATTGTCAAGGAGGTGGAGGTGGAGCTGGAGCAGGGCCAAAGGCTGGCTTGGCCAATCAGCATCTCCTCATAGAGATGCAGTGAATTAATGCATCTCTATGAGGAAGGTTCAGCATATCAATGCAGAGCGTGGAGACGCTGAACGCCAGTGCTGCACATTGTGCAGACATTGTGCAGCACTGCCCCAGGAATAATCTCTATTGGCCTCTAAAAAGGCAGTGTTTAAAGCAAAAAGCCAGCAGGGACAGTATAAAGACACCAGAACAACTACATTAAGCTGTAGTTGTTCTGGTGACCATAGTGCCCCTTTAATATGTATAGTTAGTACTTCTGACTTGTCTAGATTCACCTTAAAACCAGAGATTAGGGAATATATGTCTTTAAGGCAAATGGCAAATGATTTAGGTAAACTAGAAAAACGGTCAGAGCTGTGGCAACTGACATTTAATGTGAATAAGTGCAAGATAATGCACCTTGGACGTAAAAAAACCCAAGGGCAGAGTATAGGATATTTGATACCCTACTAACCTAAGCATCTGAGGAAAGGGATTTAGGAGTAATTATTTCAGATGACTTAAAGGTAGGAAGACAATGTAATAGAGTGGCTGGAAATGCTAGCAGAATGTTTGGTTGTATAAGGAGAGGTATTAGCAGTAGAAAGAGAGAAGTGCTCATGCCATTGTACAGAACACTGGTGAGACCTCACTTGGAGTATTGTACTCAGTACTGGAGACTGTATCATCAGAAGGATATTGATACTCTAGAAAGAGTTCAGAGAAGGGCTACTAAGGTGGTTCATGAATTTCAGGATAAAACTTACCAGAAAAGGTTAAAGGATCTTTACATGTATAGCTTGGAGGAAAGACAAGATGGGGGGATAAGATAGAAACATTTAAATACACCTATATAATGTAAGCTCGTTTGAGCAGGGCTCTCTCCAACCTATCGTTCCTGTAAGTTTTTGTAATTGTCCTATTTATAGTTAAATCCCCCCCCCTCGTAATATTGTAAAGCGCTACGGAATCTGTTGGCGCTATATAAATGGCAATAATAATAATAATAAAGGGAATCAACACAGAAAAGGAGGAGACTATATTTAAAAGAAGAAAAACTACCACAACAAGAGGACATAGTCTTAAATTAGAGGGGCAAAGGTTTAAAAATAATATCAGGAAGTATTACTTTACTTAGAGGGTAGTAGATGCATGGAATAGCCTTCCTGCTGAAGTGGTAGAGGTTAACACAGTGTGGAATTTAAGCACGCGTGGAATAGGCATAAGGCTATCCTAGACTTAAGATAAGGCCAGGGACTAATTAAAAGTATTTCGAAATATTGGGCAGACTAGATGGGCTGAATGGTTCTTATCTGCCATCACATTCTATGTTTCTATATTTCTAAGGGTATATGTCAGTGGGTCAGTTAAGTTTCAGGAAAACGTAACCCACGTAGGCCGCTATTTTGTATTCATGATCTCTTATCTTAAGTCCTGATATAGATTTGTCTTCTCTGACTTTTTGAAGTAACAAGTAGTAGTGGGGAAATGGGTCATCCTCGTATGGAATCTTTATAGATTTCATATGTAGGAGGGTCAGTATAAGGGATGAACAGAGTAGCTAATGTATGATATATACTGGAGAGACCATTCAAAAACTGGTCCGCCGGTCCGGGAACCCATATCTACTTTAGTATTAAAGTAGGGATGTGTCTGTGATACCAAAGGAGAGCATAACATCTTTTTATTATCACATATCTAGCTTGTCTAGAAGGGATGAATTCCACCAGGTCTGGGTAGATGAGCTTTGTGAAAAAGAGCTGGAGACTATTAGTAAGACCCTAGTAAAAAGTTTGACATCTACATTTAAAGGACCACTCTAGGCACCCAGACCACTTCAGCTTAATGAAGTGGTCTGGGTGCCAGGTCCAGCTAGGGTTAACCCATTTTTTAATAAACATAGCAGCCTTCCCCCATTCCCTCTAGCGGCGCTTGCGTGCTTCTCACTGTGATTTTCACAGTGAGAGCACGCCAGCGTCCATAGGAAAGCATTGATAATGCTTTCCTATGCGACCGGCTGAATGCGCGCACAGCTCTTGCCGCGCGTGCGCATTCAGCCGATGGGGAGGAGAGAAGGAGGATCGGAGGAGGAGAGCTCCCCGCCCGGCGCTGGAAAAAGGTAAGTTTTTACCCCTTTCCCCCTTCCAGAGCCGGGCGGGAGGGGGACCCTGAGGGTGGGGGCACCCTCAGAGCACTATATTGCCAGGAAATGGATGAGTAGGTTTTATAATATAGTCCAATAAAGCCATCTAGACCTGGGCTTTTTTTGGGTTTCAAAGTGATGGCTGGTTTAATATCTTCTGAGGTAATTTTGGCTGAAATAGATAATACTGCTTGGTTAGTTAGGGAGGGGAGAGACATTTGACTGGGGGATGAGTTAATCAGCCTAGTTAGAGAATCCTACCTTGTTTTCATTTTTGGTGAGTGGTCATAGAGGGTCTTAAAATATTCTCGAAAGATCTTAGCAATATGCAAGGATAATTCAGTGACATTTCCTGAGGGAATGTGCGTGCTAAGAATGAATCTGCTTTGTTTGGTTTTTCATAGAAAGTCTGTTGAGTTGACTGGAGAGCCTTTGTAGTTTCTGTCTGTAACGGATCACCTGGTATCCCGACTGGGTACCTCCGCTGAAGGATGCTCCTAACGCTTACATAGGGCTCCAAGCGCTCCGCAGACACCACAACCACTGCAGACCCCACAAACCGCCGCAGCTTGGTTGGGGTCTCGCCGTCTCCTACCCACCCTGGACCTACGCAAGGCTCCAGGTTCCAGTGGGTGAACCTCTCCTCTAAGAGAGTGAAGCAGGAACAAGCTCTTAAAAGAGCTTAGAAGTGATTATCCAAGGGAGCATGCAGAGCATAGCAATCCCTTGTAGTGATATAGCAATTCCTCCAATAAGAGACAAGACTCTAGATTGAGGGTGAAGAAGAACTCTATTACTTGGCACTAAAGGGCCTTCTTTTATGCAGGTTTTCCACACACAGTACCACCCACAGTGTTTTTCAGAACAACCAATAAACACATTACAACACATACAATGCAAGTACAGCAGCCAATCAGACACAATGGGACAGTAGAAACACACCCATCATATTCCTCCCCTCTGCTTAGGAGATAATTGAGTCAATTACTGTATCTACTCAATTATCTCCAAGCTCAAAAATTAAACTTTTTATACATTTTTATAACTTTGTGAGTTTACATACATAAAACTTATATTATTTTAACCAGTATAACTTTGGGACAAACATATCCAAAATTCACTTGAATAGGTTCAGGGGTTTAAAAGTTAGGTCAACGTCCTTTGTTATCACTTGCAAGCTTGGCTTTTCCTGCCCAAACCAGTTCCCACTGGTCTGGCAGTGTCCCTGGGACAACTCCCTGCTGGAGAACAATGGAGCTGGGGGAGGGGAGGAGCCACACCTTCCCAGGGATTCAAAGGGGAAGAAAAAGTGTCCA